GGGATGTGTTTTTTACACAGTCACGCACGCACGCACCCACACACACACACACACACACACACACCATCTCGCCCGGCAGGCCACAGCAGCAGACAGCGGCGGCGGTTACCTTAACGAGCTCCCAGGCCGACCACACCTGTATCGGCTCGATCTGGTGCGGCGTCTGCGTCTGTATGCCGTACGTCGCCAGCATCGACTGCAGCTGGCTGCTCTCCGCCACCAGCACCACCTGGATGATGAGGTCGCTCGCCGAACCCTGAAACAAGCGCACGTGCTTGCAGCGCGAGCCGCCACCGTCGCCGCGGCGACCGCTCGGCGGATGATCGACGATGACAGGCGTCCATCTTGCGAAAATTCCGCCGACTTTGACGACGACGGAGACTTTCCCCGTCGCACGGCTGCTCAAGCTTTGCAATAACACCAAGTCTAGTCTAGAGACTACCTCGGCCATTTCGCACACACGTCGCGATTCGCGTGAGCGCGCGGGCGATTAGAACGTAGAAGCGATTCGTGTTAATCGGAATAAGCGTGGTACGCAAGATTAAAACTTGAATCGATCGATTCGAATCGTAATTTGCACATGCGTCAGAGGGTAAGCATGAGACGATCAATCGAAAGCTCGCGCGCGTCGCCAATGGAAATGTCCGTCGGCCTATCTGCGAATGAGAAAAGACACGGAAAACAGACCACGATAAAAACGGCTAAAGAGAATTTTAAACAAATACCACGGTCACGGAACGAATGAGAAAGTGTCGAAACACCTACGAAAAAAAACAACGAAAGAGCAGAAATACACAACAACAAAATGTCAACCGAGTACACTAGATAAGGACATGCAGTGCTGCCATGCAACTCTATCAGGTGACACTACGAATTCCCCCTTCACCAACCTGAACCAGCCTCTGAAGAAAATCTCTAGAATTCGGTTTTGAATAGCTCATCGTCCCATAAAGAAATCATCGAACGCTAGAGAGCTATAGGGGAAAGAGTCGTGTGAACGTGAGAGAATCAAAGACCAAGAGGGTAGAGGAGCTGAGGGAGAAGGAGGTGGAGAGGGAGAAAGGGGAAGAGAAAAATTGGAGAGAAATGAGGGTGGGAGAGTGAGACAGTATGATTAGGAGAGTGAGAGGGAAAGAGAAAGGAAGAAAGATGGAGGGAGAGAGGGAGGGCTGGAAGGGAGGGACAGAGGCAGAATGAGAACAGGAAGCGCTTGAGGGAAGGAAAACGGAAGGAAGGGTAGAGGTGCAAACATGAACCTCGTCCCCGTCCGAATTTGACACAGTGACACGGCCAGGTGACGCACACAGAGATAAGATGTCACATCAGAAGCACCGTCAGGATCGTACGGTGGGTGACAGCAGACGGAGCAACACTACCTCCACGTCGGACACCAAACCCGAAATGCTCGTGCCCCCGTGCACAACCGTTCGAGAAAACACAAGAAAAGTCGACAAAAACATAAACGAGAATTGTCCGTTCGACACGAGTGAATAATGCACCACAGCAGCGCGTCTACGTTTTGCCCGTGCCGGAAAAAAAAACGCAAATAAAAAAACGAATCGCATGCAGGACGAAATGCTCTCGTATCTACCATGCTGTGCTGGCCCAGTTATAGCTACTGTTACGTGCTAGTGCTACGACGCGCCCCCGCGCGCGCGCCATTCCGTGCTAGCGCGCGACATTCCGTGCTAGCGCGCGCCATTCCGTGCTAGCGCGCGAGGCTACGACACTGTGCTTGCATATAATAGCTACCACTCCGTGCCGGTACGCACAGCTGCTATTTTGGGCTAGCATAGCATTTGTGTCGTACCGCTCCCGTGTTACATACTCACTGATGTATTTAGCCGCTGAAATAACGAGAGAAAACGTAAGCACAGGTTTCAATGACTCGCATCTTCGCCCCCCCCCGCCCCCTAATTAGCAAAGTTCATCCTCATTAGCAAAGTTGCACCTACTGCCATCTGGTGACGAATTCAGAAGTTCTGAAGATGGCTGTCAGAACGACAGCTGAAACTGTCAAGGTAAATAATTTAAGGATTTAACCATGAACAATGATGTTATTAAAGTTGCACGGATACAGTAAGCTGTGTCGTAAATAAGAGTCCCTTCCTCTCCCCTTCCCTCCCCTTTTCCTTCCTTTCCTCTTCCTACTTCCCTTCTCTTCCTTTCCTCTCTCCCTTCCCTTTCCTTCTTCTCCCCTTTCCACTCCATTACCATCCCTTTCCTCTTCCCTTTCTTTCCCACTTCACTTCCTTTCCTCTCCCTCTTCCTCTTCCCTCCCTTTACTTCTCTCCTTTCTCCCCCATTCCCTCCCGCTTCCCTTCCCTTCCTCCTTCCTCTCCCCTTCTTCCTTTCTCTAGCTCACCTGAAAGAAGGAGTATCGGATGCTCTTGCGCGGTCGCTCGGACGCGGGTAGGTAGCGTCTTACTGGGTCCAGCTCGTTGACATGGAGCAGGTTCTCAACTGCAACACACAGGGGACGAATTTTGCAATTTTAGCCACTTGCAAAAAATCTCGAGTGCCTAAAAAATCTACGCGCTAAAATGAATTCCAACGTGCAATTTTGCAAAGGGTAAACAGCGTACGGTAAATAACGGAGAATTGCATGAAACTTGTGTAGGCAATTTGACCGACCAGTTTGACCATTAATCATGAAATATATTCTTTCCGTGATCGACAGTGATAATGTATGCGGTGTATGCTATAAATTTCCACTCGCAGAAAACAGCAAGTGCTTATATTTTCTGCTCGCAATTTCTCAATATCGACACGCATTTTGCGAGTTAGCAATAGGGAAATTCGAGCCCTGACACAAACACGAACTGCAACACGCACGACCTCAACACGCGCTCTGCGTCCGACCTTGGATCGATGTCCAACCCCGCACTGCATTTGACGTTTTGCTTCCTTCTACTAGTTTACTCACATTCTCTACGTTTCATCACTTATTTATTTTTAATTTTAATTTGATTTATTTTTTCGTATATTTTTTCCGAACAAAATCATTCATCCTTTCGCTCGTTCGCGCACAAAAGATTTCGTCGACGACATCGCCCATCGCACGCGCGAGATGCCGCGACCACCAGGGGGCACTCACTGAGCAGCGAGCTGATGATGTAGAGGGCGTTGCCCATCAGGTGCACCTTGCCGTCGATCCACTCCTTGCTGGAGCGGCGCGACGCTCCTTTTGGGTCGGCGCGCGCCTCATCGACGTCCATGCGACGCACGTAGAAGTTCATCGGTAGTATCGCGTCTGCGGAGACAGACAGAGAGAGACGCGCTGTGAGTGCGGAGGCGAGACACGTGAGACAAGAAAGCGCGCGCGCGAAACGCAGGCGACGACAAGTGAGCAGTAACGGTCACGCGCGCGCGACAAGACGCGCGCGAAATAAAAAAAAATAAAAAAAATAAAATGACTTTTTTTTTTTTACGACAAAATATTGCGAGTCGATAAGGGTGAACGTGGCATACACATCAATCATTCAGTGACAAGGAGATTTCCAAGAAAATAAATGCACGTAAAATACGCGACAAACGCGGACAAAGAAACGCATGCAACGACACAACAACACATCGAATGCGCTCCTGCAAATATCGTCGTCGACAATATAAAACTCGACGGCGAGCTTGAGCCGGGTCTTTCCGCAGCCGGTTTTTGCACGAGTTACACTTCATTACATGACCTGATTACACTGCAGTCTTCATCAATACAATATTAACGAACGTGTAATTAACACAAGGACCAATACACATAATACTTACACACACTGGGTAGTAATAGCTAAAACAGACAGAGACTGGCACCAGAATCTAAGTTCCCGTAGGAGTAGTAGACAGTGACTACCTAACTAAGACGATACAGCGAGAAACAAAGACTAAACTAACAGTGAAACAACAGAACCTATAGAAGCCTATACAGATACATATAACGACAATCGCCACCACTAACTAGACTTTATTTTCAAAATTCAACAGAACACGAATATCTGATTAATCGATGCGAACAATCACGAACATTCTGAACGTGCCGAACAACTGAACAACAATCGTCGTAACACTGATCCCGCGTAGGATGAACGTATGATAAACGCTTCAGCATGCACCAACGACACGAGACAAGCATGCAAGCCCCACCGTTGTTATTAAGGAGAGCAAACTTTTCGGAGGGGGGTTAGTCACAACCGCTGCCTTCTCCATGCTTAGAATTCAACGCGACCGACCTATCCTACCGAGCGAAATGAAGTAACCCCCCTCTACCTCCCGGATATTTTTCCTAGGTCCATTAGGCTACACCGGTTTTCAACGTGCTTTTCGCGCACAGGTGCCAAATCTTCGACTCTGCGACACTTTGCAGCCGAGCAATGTCTTTTAGAATGCCCATTCCCACAACGACGTCATGATTGGCTAAAGCCGCTCCCCGTCAATCACCCCAGGCGGATAGGTCAGATTCGTTTCGAAAACGACGCCAGAATTCGCCGAGTTCGGACGTCGCTCGTTCGTAGAGATGTGAGCGTCGGCAGCCGAATTTTAAACAGGAGAGCGGTGACCAGGTGTTAGTAACAGTGACGTCGTAGCAACAGTGCCGAAGAGGAAGAGGAAGAGGAGCAGAACAGGAGGAAGATGAAGAAGAGGAGGAGGAGGAGGAGGAGGAGGAGGAAGCGGAAGAGAAGGAGGAAGAGGAGGAGAATGAAGAAGAGGAGGAGGAGGAGGAGGAGGAGGATGAGGAAGAGGAAGAGAAGGAGGAGGAAGAGGAGAATGAAGAAGAGGAGGAGGAAGAGGAGGAAGAGGAGGAGGAGGAGGAAGAAGACGAGGAAGATGAGAAGGAGGAGGAGGAATAAGACGAGGAAGAGGAGAAGGAGGAGGAGGAGGAGGAGGAAGAGGAGGAGGAGGAAGAGGAGGAGAATGACGAAGAAGAGGAGGAGGAGGAGGAGTAGGAGGAAGAAGATAAGGAAGATGAGGAGGAGGAAGAAGAAAACGAGGAAGAGGAGAAGGAGGAGGAGAAGGAGAAGGAGGAAGAAGAGGAGGAGGAAGAAGACGAGGAAGATGAGGAGGATGAGGATGAGGACGAGGACGAGGAAGAGGAGGCAGAACAGGAGGAAGATGAGGAAGAGGAGGAGGAGGAGGAAGATGACGAAGAGGAGGAGGAGGAGGAGGAGGATTAGGAAGAAGAGGAGGAGGAGGAGGAGGAGGAGGAGGAGGAGGAGGAGGAGGAGAAAGAGGAAGAGGAGGAGGAAGATGAGGAGGAGGAGGAGGAGGAGAAAGACGAGGAAGAAGAAGATGAGGAAGAAGAAAAGGAAGAGAAGGAAAAAGACGAGGAAGAAGAAGACGAGGAAGATGAGAAGGAGGTGGAGGAGGAGGATGAGGAGGAGGAAGAGAAGGAGGGGCAGGAAGAAGATGAGGACGTAGAGGATAACGAGGAAGAGGAGGGGGTGGAGGAGACAGAGGCAGAACAGGAAGAGGAAGGAGACGGAGGCAAAGGAAGATGAACAAGATGAGGAGGAGGAAGAGAAGGAGGGGGGAGATGGCGGCAGAGGCAGAACAGGAGAAAGAGGACGAGCGACGGAGGAGGAAGATGAGGAGCAGGGATGCTAATGCGAGTGCAGGTGCGCGCTTATGCCCGCCACGTGAAGGCGAGAGACAATGACATGACGACGGCATCAGCAGGACAGGAGAAGATGAAGAGGAGGAGAAGGATAAGGAAGAGGAGGAGGAGAAGGAGGAGGATGAGGAGAAAGAGGAGGAGGAGGAGGAAGAGGATGAGGAGGAGGAGGAGAAGGATGAGGAAGAGAAGGAGGAGAAGGAGAAGAATGAGAAAGAGGAGGAGGAGGAGGAGGATGAGGAAGATGAACAAGATGAATAGGAAGATGAGGAGCAGGGATGCTAATGCGAGTGCAGGTGCGCGCTTATTCCCGCCACGTGAAGGCGAGAGACAACGACATGACGACGGCATCAGCAGGACAGGAGAGGATGAAGAGGAGGAGAAGGATGAGAAAGAGGAGGAGGAGGAGGAGGATGAGGAAGATGAACAAGATGAATAGGAAGATGAGGAGCAGGGATGCTAATGCGAGTGCAGGTGCGCGCTTATTCCCGCCACGTGAAGGCGAGAGACAACGACATG